AAGGGAAGGGCGTGCTGAGCGGACTTCGCGACGAAGCGTGAAAGTGATGTCAACATGCCGTTCATTATCTGTATCGACTTCTTCGACGTTGGAGTCGGGAGGTCGGCGAATGCTCGGCACTTGTCGGGGTTGGCTTCAATGCCTCGTTCTGTTAGATAGAATCCGAGGAACTTTCCTGCCTTAACCCCAAATGTGCACTTCTCGGGGTTGAACCTCATTTTGCATTGTCTTGCTTGGGCGAAGACAGTCTTGAGATGAGCTGCGTGATCGGTGTCTGCTCGAGATTTGACGATCATGTCGTCCATGTATACCTCGAGCATGTCGCCGATCTGTTTGTTGAACACTTTGTTCATCATGCGTTGGTATGTCGCGCCGGCGTTCTTTAGTCCGAAGGGCATTACGTTGTAGTAATAGTTGCCCGAGCTGGTCATGAACGCCGTGCAGCGTTTGTCGCCCGGAGCCATTGGGATTTGATTGTATCCCGAGTAAGCGTCCATGAACGACAAAGTTTTGTAGCCGGCCGAGTTGTCGACCAGCATATCAATGTTTGGTAGAGGAAAAGCATCCTTCGGGCAAGCCCGATTGAGATCGGTATAATCAACACACATTCGCCATTTTCCATTATTCTTTTTGACAAGTACAACATTTGACATCCAGGTGGAATACCGGGCTTCAGAAATAAAATTTGCCTCTAAGAGGTCTTTTACAGCTTTTTCAGCAGCCTCCGTTTTTTCTGGAGACTGCCTACGCCTACGTTGTACTACTGCCTTGGCGGCTGGATCAATGGCGAGGTGATGACAGGCGACCTCAGGGTCGAGTCCGGGCATCTCTGCAGCGCTCCAGGCGAAGAGATCAGCATTCTCGCACAGACAGGCCTTGATTTGCTTCCTGGCCAAGTCGGGGAGGTCTTTGCCAATCTTCACTCCCTTGGTCGGGTCTGCTCCGAGGGGAACGAGTTCGAAATCGCCGTCCGGAATAGGTCGGAGGGGGATTTGCTCGCTGCTGGCCGGCTCGTCTTGGTCAAAACGGGCGTCGAGCGCAATGGAGTCAACCTTTGGTGGAGCCTTCTGAACTTCTGCCTCAGGAGATGCTCTGTCGGGCTCTTGCTTTGTCTTCTTGATGGGCCTAGTGCTGGGACCCACGTCGACAGTATCCCGACCCCTTGAAGCGGCGTTGAAGCACCGGCGGGCAGCAGCGAGGTCGCCCTGGATGGTGGCTACCCTCGCCCTCTTGGTATAGAACTTCATCTTTAGGTGGACAGTTGAGGGGACCGCTGTCAGTTCCGCAAATGTCGGCCTCCCCAAGATGCAATTGTACAGGGACGGGCAGTCAATGACGAGGAAGCGGACCTTCACTTGTCTTGTAGCAGTTCCTTCCCCGAATGTCACGAGGAGCTCGTCATATCCCCAAGGTTTGGACGTCGAACCGTTGAAGCCTTGAAGGTCCGAACCTATATATGGAGACAGATGGGAGTCGTCCAGTTGTAAGGTCCGGAACAGCTGGGTGTACATCACGTCGACGGAACTCCCTTCGTCGACCAGGATGCGATGCACGTCAAAATTGGCCATCTTTGCCCTTATCAGCAAGGGGATGACTGCGTTCGGTGCTCCGCCGGGGAGCTCTTCCAAGTAGAATGTGATAGGCTCTGATCTGCCCCTCACCATTTCAAAAGTCACAGTTTGGGGAGGGGCTTTGTCGACCAGTTCGTCCAACTTCCTCTTGGCTGAGTTGATGGTGAGGTCGTTGAACCCGCCCCCGTTGATGACCATGGCGGAGGGGAAGTATTCCCACCTGCTGTGTGTCGTCAGGGGCTCCTGCAGGAGCTCGGGAAGTTCGAAATCCTCGGGCCTGGTTACCGAGAAGGCGGTCTGGATTGGCACCGACTCGTCAGATGGTCGGGCATCTTCTTCGGGCTCCTTTGCCTCGCGGGCTTCACGACGGGGAGCGTCGTTTCTCCTGTACTGTGCCAGTCTTCCCCCTTTGATAAGGGTTTCAATGGCGTCCTTCAGGTGGACGCAGTCCTCTGTCAAGTGACCATGACTCCTATGGTACTGACAGTATTTGTTTTTGTCTACTCCTGGCTTGGCAGGAGCTGGTCGGGGACGCTTGACGCCACCGTCTTTAAAATCTGTGCTTGCACACTCCGCCAGAATACGCTCGCGGGAAGCCGTGAGCGGAGTGTACTCAGTAAACCGGCCCGAGGGGCCCCTTTGTTCCCGGACCTCCCGGGGTCTGTCTTCCTTCCTCTTCTCTCCGGTGCGTCGGGGAGGAGGGTCTTGTCTCGAGCTGCTGCCATGATTGCGAGCCCTGGAGTCTCGTGCCCTGTTGGCAGCTTCTCTCTCCTCGTAGTCCATGTATGCTCGGGCTTTGTCGAGGAGAGCATCAAAAGTTGCAGGTGGCTCAATGCCCACAGCTTTCCTGAATTCTGTGCCGGGGAGGAGGCCCCTCTCCAGCAAGTACCTCTTCATATGGTCCGCGCAGGGGACCTGAATTGCTTCCCGGTTGAAGCGGTTGATGAATTCCCTCAAGGTCTCATCATGTCTTTGGATGATGGCCTCGAGGGCTGCCTCGGTCTTTGGGTGGCGACGAGACGCTGTGAAGGAACTGATGAACTGGTTCTTCAAGTTCCGCCACGAGGTGATGGAGCCCGGGGCAAGTCCCTTGTACCAGTCCATGGCCGCCTTCCTGAGAGTTGTTGGGAATAGACGGCACTTGATGGGCCCCCCGACATTGTGATAGTGGAGCATGGCTTCGAACCCGTCAATGTGGTCGACTGGGTCCGCCACTCCATCATACTCCTTTAGGTGTGGGGGCTTCTCCATGCCCGGGGGAATAGGCGCGTCCATGATGGCCTGCGACAGGGGACCGCGGGGGTCGTCCTCGTCGCTCCTATCTGGAGAAAGAGAAGGGGTCCTGTAGTGGTGTCTGGCACGCTGGTCGTGCTGAGATTCCCTCGAGCGTGATGCTCGGTGGTTGAAGGTCACACGCCCGTCTCTGTTGTGCCTCCTGTCGTGCCTTGATGGGTCGCGACTGGGCTCTTCGGCAGGGATGACGGGCTGTCTTTCATACTGGGGCCGCCTCTGCCTTGGTGGGGGAGAGGGGCTCCTAGAGTTCTCCCTGTGATGTCTCCGCGGGGGAGTAGGGTGTCGAACTTCTTCGACCCGAGGAGGTGGAGATGGTGGCCTTTGATGTCTCCTCGGGGGGCGTCGATCATGTTCAAGTGCCCTTAGTCTTTCTCCTTGGGCGAACAGGAGATAGTTCGTCTGGTTGATGGCCGCGAACAGTGCCTGAGTCGTGGCATCTGCCCCGGCAGGGACTTGGACTTCATAGAACCGGGCAGCTTGGCGATAGGCGAGAGCCTCCGGGTCGTCTTCGAGTCTTGGAGGAGTTGTCGAGGAGGACGCAGTGTTCCCGTCCCTGCGGGTGGAAGGTCCAGGGGCGGTTGTTGCGGGGACGGTATTGTGGCCGGCACCACTGGGATTGTCCAGGTGCCCATTCTTGTCCGCGGGACCGTTGTTGGCGTCGAGGACGCGAGTGTGTTGTTCTTCACGAGTTGGAGAGGCCATGACAGTGAATGGATTGAGCTTTGGTCTCTGAAACTGTTCGTTAGACGGGGAAGCTGTTTCCCACAGACGGCGCCACTGATCTGACCTGATCAGAAGGTTTGGACCGTCACGGCTTACTCCGAGCTGAAGGCTTTTTGAACGAGGAGGGGGGGGGGGGGGTACCTGCAAGGCACTCCGATGCTAAAGTCAGTGGGAGCACTAGCAGATAATAGAGTTGAGGTTAGAATGATCAATCTCTGACCCTCTGGAAGCAGAGGGTATTTATAGCCCCCAGCGCTGGACCAAGGTTCCTTCATTGGGCCGGGACGATTTGGCCCAATGGAGGAACTGCCAGGTTCTACGTGGGTAGTGGGGACCAGCACGTGGTCCCCTTCCTGGATATGCTGCATGAAGTGCGGGCGGACGGAGACGCGGTCTTTCCGGAGTATCGTAGGGGCAATGGAGGACTAAGTCTGCCCTAGCAAGTTAGCTCGAGACCATGTCGAGCTGCGCAGCACCGTGCCGAGCTCGACGCCAAGACCTCGAGCTGGATAGTGAGTGTCGAGCTGGAAGCCAGGACATAGAGCTGGACGGCAGGCTGTCGAGCATGACTTCATCGTGGGACTGGACACCGAGATGTCGAGGTGGACATCAGGGTGTCGGGCATGGACGTGACCCCCTTTGCCCAGCGTGGTCCTTAGTGAGTCCCTTTGGACTGGGCCTTAGTAATGCTTTTGGGCCTGTCGGGCCCAGTCCAGAACACTATCAAAATCTTATATATGAATTGTCGATATATAATTTTAAATTAAGAATATATGCATCACAATTTTTTTGTTTTGTTTTCAAACACTTGTATTTGGCCTATTAGACTGACTAATCTGATTAGATGGTTTAATTTTGACATTAATTAGTTTCAACGTTCTTTTGATTGTAATTGTGAGAATTCAACTGTAGTTCTTTTACTTGATGAGGACTAACTACAGTTTAATACATACATCACATTTTAAAATACTAGTCCGATCGTTCCCTCACTATGTTTGAGGGCCTAGAAGCATTTACGGAAATTAGCCGCAAAAAAAAAGTATACAAAAAGATATTTGAACATCTCTTGATGTAACATCACCAGAGGGCAATTTTCAATTCCTACTCCATGTTTGGGACACTATTAAACTATATAAAGGTACCAAACTAACTTTTAATCACGTAACACACTATTCATGATAATGTCTAACATCTACCACAAATCAAAATTCAACATCATATATTTGATGTCATGCTTTGTGTGGTTCATACTTGAAAACTCACATTTCATGTTTTCTTCAGTCCATTTTCTCATGATGCATTTCTAATAGCAATCAATGTTCCAAGTTGACTTGTAGAGAAAACACTATAAAGTGAAACTACCATAGTTTTATATCTCTCAAAGGGCTCAATTCTTGAGAGTTTAAGAGTAAAATGAGAGTTAGTCCTTTAGTGACACTTGGTAATCCTCAAAGGAGGCAACTTGGTTGTGAACCTGCTTCAAGGGTTCTCATGAAACTGCTATACAAGTTGAAGAGAGCTATGAGACGTCATAGGAACATTCCACAGTATAGGTATGATCTTCGTAGCTATTGTCTTAATTTCAGTGATCAAACACTTTGTATAGATTGATGATCTTTCATGTATGATTAATGAGTTGTATAGATGTTTAATCTTTTATTAATAAGTTATATTATGATGTTTATTACTATTTCAAACTTGCTTTCATTGCAATATGGTGGTGAAATATGATTAGATACATTTGTAAAATCTATTATGTGTGGTTATTTAACTCTTGTTGCAATTCTATGGTTCGATGATAAATTATCATGGAAGTTAGACAATTGTAAACATCACTTTAGCTACTTAGCATCCAGTTCTTTCTTTTGATGATCATATGTAATGGCTTGGACAAATTTATATTCTTTTCTTCCTTTAAAAGTTTGTTTAGAATTTTTTTTAAGGAGACCGAAGTCTCGAACTATATATAATAAAAATAAAATAAAATTTTATAGATATATGTAAAGTCATGCTTCATCAAATTTATGTTTTGATGATTACAAACATTATGATTAAGGCAAAAGGCATTATCAAAAGAAGAAGAAGAAATATCTACTCAAAATGGACTTTTGGTTTGCATGCTAAGTTATTCCTAAAGAAGATTTTGGTATTTGATCTTCGTTATGGTACAAGACTCCAATTTAATATAATATGTTATTATAGTGTTCAAAATATGTCTAACATTATGCATACATGTTTCATGACTTTTAATATAATTAGCATTGCATTTTCAAGCCATTAGAAATGTTATTTCACTTTTTCATACAATAGTAACCGGTTACAGGTTTCTGGTAACCAGTTACAAGCTTCAGCATTTCAAAAAATATACGTTACCTGCATTGGGTAACTAGTTACAGCCCTACGGTAACTGATTACCGCTGAAACGAATTTGAAAAATAGGACTATTTTGAATGCCGTTTGTTTGTTGCATTTGTCCATGAACCATTGCACTTCTACATTCATTTAGAACCTTTTGAAAGGGTGCAATACATGTATATAATTCAAATATTTTCGAAGTAGAAACACACAAATTAACAACAATCACAACATACAATTTAACATTTTATTTTTCATTTTCAAACAAGTGTATGGATTAATATTTTGATCTTGCATGAAATTTTTACTCTTACATTTTTAAATACATCATTAGAAAAGCTTCATCATATGCATTGAGCACTTGTGTAATATATTCATTGAATTCTTGTCTTGAAAGAGAAGAGATCAATACTTTGTATTGACATTGATTATCAACTTTCATATCTACTTCAAGAAGTTGTTTCTAATCATTTTTTCAAAGTAATTGTGGTGTAACTTTGTCGTCCAAGATTATTAGAAGTAGGAGAGTATTAATGGAGGATTGTTCTCTTTTTACTTTGTATTGGTTACCTTGTTTTCAAGATTGTTGGAAACAAGTGTGTACATTGAAGATGATTGTTTTTCATGTACTTGATTGGATCTCAAAGGATAGTTAAAGCCTTTGATCTCCCTATAGGTTAGATAGTAAGCATCACATTTAAATTTGGATAGACTGTGCAATAATTCTAGCTATAATGAAATCTCTTACATGTTCGTAAGAGGACTGAAGTGCTCTCGAAGTGTGAGGGAAACCAGTATAAATCTCTTGTGTTCTTTATTTTCTGTATTTACGACTTTCATATTCATACACAAACAAGAAAATAAGAACACCATCACATAAAATAATAAAAGTCTGCAATCCACTTTATTCAGCCCCGTCGTAGGCGCACTCAAAAACAAACATTTGGAATCAGAGCAAGTTAAGGTAACTTGTTCCTATTCGATCTAGAATGACTTCCGCACAACAAACTTTCAAAGATGGTGGTAGTAACAATAAGTCTTTATTGTTTTGTGGTGAATACTTTGCCTTTTGGAAAATTCACATAAAGATGGAGTGCCAAAAGTTCTCCAAGAAAAATGCTTACAAGAGAAGAAAATTCTCAAAATCCAATAAGGTTTGCATTGAAGAAAGTGATATAAGCTCTTCATCCGATTCGGAAAACGGCGAATATGCAAATCTTGCTTTTATGGAATTACATTATTCCGATGGGGAAGAGGAAGAAAAGGTTATAAATTTTTATCCTAAGAAAATAGTTGCTAAAAAGAACAATTATGTTACAAGTAACTTTCTTCCTACTTGTTTATATTGTGGTATTATTGGTCACACACATAATGCTTGTCATGGAAGAAATTCTAATTCTACTAGTAAACATTCTGTGTGGGTCAAGAAATGAACTAACCATGAAGGACCCAAATCACTTTGGGTACCTAGAAAAACTTAACTTATTTTGTAGGTTTGCTTGAAGACCACTTCAAAATCTTTGATATCTTAATAAGTGGTTGATCCAAGCATATGATGGGAGGTATAAACAAATTTTCAAATCTAATAGGCCAAGGGATGTGTCACATATGAGGACAACATCAAATGAAAAATTCTTGGCAAGGAAAAGATAAACACTAACTTTCATATCCAATGAAGAAGTACTTCATGATGAAGGATTAAGACAAGATCTTCTAAAAGATAAGTCAACTAATATCATGCTATTTTTCTACTTTGATTATGATATTATTTTGTTTTTTTCTCTCTTCCTTTTTGCTAATGACAAAGGGGGAGAAGATATATGTGTATGCTTTGTCTCTATCTCTTGAAGAAATTTTGGCTATAAAAATGTGTTATATAAAAAATGGATAGTGGAGGTGAGAAAAAAAATATATTTTTTATGATTTTTGCACCCGCTGTGGTTGCGAACCTTTAGTGCCTACGTACCACCTTTAGTGCAATAGGGGATCAGGGTACACGTAGTTCCTCTTTTAAAAATTTGAAACAAGAGTGTGTTGGTTGATTTTAAGAGATAAGACATCATCGTCATTGTCCGTGTGGAAAACATACTTACTAGCCACAATCATGAGAAATGAGAATTTACATCATCTCAAAGTGGAGGATATAGCTTGGATTTTAAAATCAACAATGCCTCACTCAACACCCAAGTGTAAAATATCTCTCTTCACCATATATTGTAGAAGTATAGTTGTTTGCATCACTACAAGGATTGACAAGAGTCTAACCTTTTGAGAAAAGTTTTAAAGATAAAAAGCCAAAATAGCAAAATGGTTTGAAATGAGATTAATTGATTTTTAGTCTTCTCACAAAAAAATGTCAAGGTATTATTAAATTGATTGAAGTTTATTTATGAAAATATTTTGAAAATGCATGGACATAAATCCAAGTTTATTATGAAAGTGGTTTAAGTTTCAAAACAAGAAGAGTCTTCAAAAGGAGGAAGAAGATTTTTGAAATTAAATAAGATGGGAGGAGAAGAAGAGACTATCCTAAAGCATAAGGTACAAGCTAAGGATAAGAACCATCTAACTAACAAGAATCCAAAACTTGACATCATGATCCAAGATAGAATTCCCATTCTTTGGATTAAAACCAAGTAAGCAAAGATACTAGACCTCTTCAAGTGTATTAAGTCTTCACAAAAATTGGGAAGAGTAACGACTGTATACGGGTGAAATCCAGATTACAAACAAAGGATGTAATCACAAAAACATGCACACAAAAACAAACAAGCAACCCAATCTCTTGAGGTAAACCTCAAGAGCTCCAGACAAAATAATCAGATAAGATCACAAGGTCTCCAAGATAGGCCAAGGTTTCTAATCCAAAGTCCAAGAAATAGTCCCACGCTCCATCATGCCAAGGATAATAACTAAATAGTCCAAGTACCATTAAGAGTTTTTTAGGGTTTAAGTTGATTATTAAGTATCTTAAGAAAAGAAAAGAAAAGCTCAAGTGAGCAAAATAAAAAGGACAAGAAAATAAATGCTCAAATGAGCAAAGATGAAAATGGCATGAAATGAAAATGCTAAAAGATAAATAGTACATAAAGCATAAAAGAATAAAAGCATAAAATAAAACAAGTTAATAATTAGTGGTTAGTTGGATGACCATCTTGAGACTTGCATTTGGAACTCATTAGAGGATTGGTAGAACCAAAACCTCCACACAACAAGTTACATTTGCTTTTTGTCAAGTATATCATCCATTTGGAATTCTCATAAGTACCACTTAATGATCAAAGATGTTTAAGTGATCCGCGTTGACCAAAGGTGTTGTAGATCCATTAGAGGATTGGTAGAACCAAAACCTCCACACAATGAATCTCAAGGTTATTGGATCAAAGAGATCAAATTAACATATTTGGGCTTGCAATCATAAGTTTGGGCCACAAATGATCATTTATTCGAATCGGGACGAAATTTAGCGCTATGTTAAGCAATCGTAAGTGGACTTATATAGAAGTCGCACCTATTTTGAGGCCGGTCAATGGAAAAATATGCACCATTTATTTTGAGACATGATATAGAGATCATACTCCAACAACATTTAGTGCAATGAGAAGGGGATGAGATGAAGAGGAAATAGGGTAAAAAGAAAAACCACATTTGAATTAATATTTAATCAAACTATTATTAAAATCATTCATCCATTTTTTATGGAGTTAAACTCAACATCATGGATCTAATAATATTAATAAAGCCATGACCAAAAAAATCAACCCAAGACAGCCAAAAAATTTTCACAAAATAATAATATAATTAATATATACATTAAAGGGTTTGAAAAAAAAAGGAAAATAATGAAGAAAATGCCAATTATATTCAAATTAATCAAGAAATGAAAAATAAGACTATAGAAAAATCAGAAAAGAAGCCAAGTAATTTTACAAAATTTTTGGTAATTTTTAAAAGTCAGAAACTATTTTTAAAAATTAAAATAAATGGGTAAAATAAACAAAAATAGTAAAAAAATAGTAAAGTCAGAAACAAAAATAAAATAAGGTCACCAATATTTGTCACAATATCATTAGATCATTCCATAATTTTTTCAGAATTTAAAAATGTGTAATAGTATTTTTAAACAAATCAAATAAGTGTAAAATTCACAAAAAATACCAAAACACAAAATTAAATTGTGAAAAAATAAAAATCAGAAAGAGAATAATCAAAAATATTTTTCATAATTTTTTCAGATTTTTTGGACTAAAAATGAA